GGTAAGAGGAAGAGTGATCCTGGATGTTTCATTTTCCAGCATTGTGTTGTGCTCTGTAAGGATTAGTTAAGGCATTCCCTGGTTCACGGCCAAACATAATTGTAGTAAAAAATACATCAGGCCAATAGGGAACATTCCCACCTCTGAAAAACAGAGGCGCTCAATCACCACCAAAGATCATTACTTATTTTAACACACCAAGAGTCTTTAAAGAGCGTTGGAATTATTCAGTCTAGGAAAATCAATAGATTCATGCTCTGTGATGAATATTTGATTTCAAATCTCAGATAGGTTTGTTGAAATAGCAGAGTCTATTTCTAATGCTTTAAATGTTAGAGACTAAAAGATCATCAAAAAATAGGCATATTTTAAAGGCAAATTAGGATCATTTCAGTAATTTGGCAGCATTTATTGCAGTTCCCTAGGTAACAAACATGATTATTGCTTTCCCTTTTTACCATGTTGAGTGTTTACTGCAAATTCTTTTACCCTATTCAAAGATTAACAAAGCATATAATTGCATAGACTCAAAAGCATATCATATTTCTATTTAGAAAAACGTGTAACAATAAAAAACCACCATCAATATATCTCTGAGTCCTTATTTTCAGCATATGAAAGGTATTCAGTCTTTTGGACCCATAAAAGGCACAGTTAGAGCTACAGCTCTGACTGATTTACATATATGACCCATACATGAATCCCAAGGTTTCAATCTGATTTATCCATGCCAAGGGTCTCAACTACTTTCAACTCTATTTGCATCTCACTTTAGCTCAACAACCAAAGTTCCAGGAATATACCTTAAGGACACAACTACATAAACGTGAAAACATTAGTGCACATGGATATTCATGGCAGCTTGGTTTATAATGCTTTTTAAAGGGGAACTAAATGTCTATAGGAACTGCAAAGGGAACTGGTTAGGTCAATTATGTTATCTCAGGCAATGATCATCATAGGCCTTAAAAATGATACACTGATATCTACAACATATTATTCAGTAAAAATAGTACATTACATGATGTCATCTTTGTACAACTGCCTGAAAATATGTTCAACAAAATGTAAACTGTAGGCTTTTTGCAATCATAAAGTTCTGAGTAATTTTTAATTTCTTCGTAACATTTTTCTGCATTTTTGTTTCTTTCTTTTACAAGGTGCATCATTTTTATTATTCATTTAGTTAATAAATATGTATCCAGCCCCTACTATGTGCCAGGCCCTATTAAAGGTGCTAAAGATATAGTAGTAAACAAAACAGATTTAAAAAAATCCTTGCCCTCATGGAGCTTTCTATTGAAAAGACAGAAAACAATCAAAACGTTAACATATATACAATACCTAGCATGTTAGAAAAGGGCTGGAGAGAGAAAAATAAAGCAGGAAAGAAGGATAAGAAATATTTGAGGGTAAAATCTTAGATGTAGTGGCCATGGAAGACCACAGAGAAGGTGACCTTGAGTGAAGACCCAAATTAAGTAGAGGGGCTGGGCATGCCATGTTGGGGGAAGAACTTTCTAGGCATAGGGATTAGCAACTGCAAAGATGCTGAGGTAGAATTACACCTGGCATATTCAAGGGACAGGAAAAAAGCCAGTGAACTAGGATGGGAAGACTAAAGGAGAGAACAGGAGTAAAACCATGTCCGAATGAACCTTTTAGGTCATAGGAAATAGTTTGGGTATAGGGGAAGTCATTGGAGGGCTCTGTGCTGAAGGCTGACTTGATCTAACTTGCACTTTAACAGGACTGCTCTGGCTACAGGGAGCCACAAGCAGAGCAGGAAAATTGCTTAACAGGCTATTATAATAATCCAGGTGACAGATTACAGTGGCTTGGACCAGGTTAGTGGCAACGAGGGTGGCAATGGGAAGTAGTCAAAATTTAGATTTATTTTTAAGGTAGAGATGATGGGTTTTGCTGATGGATGAGATATGGAATGTGAAAGAGAAAGAGAACCAAAAATGACAGCAAGATTTTTGGCTTGATCAACTGGAAGAATTGAATTATCATTAAATGAAATAAGGAAATGTGCATGAGGATTTTGCAGGAACACCAGGGCATATCAAATTTGAGATGCCTATTAGACATCTGATTCCCTGGGTGGTGCAAATGGTTAAGCACTTGGCTGCTAACTGAAAGGTTGTCATCTTGAATCTACCCAGAGATGTCTCATAAGAAAAGCCTGGAGATCTACTTCCAAAAGATCATAGCCATTGAAAACCCTATGGAGCACAGTTCTACTCTGACACACATGGTGTCACCATGAGTCGGACTCAACTGGATGGCAACTGATTTGATTTGATTTTGGTTTATTGGACATCCACGTGGAGATGTCCAGTAAGTAGTAAGACGTGTGGGTTTTGAGTTCTGGGAAGAGATACTCGCTAGATATATAAATTTGGTACTCATCAACATTTAGATGATCCTTAAAGCCATGAAACTAGATGAGCTCAACAAGAGAGCAAGTTTAGATAGAAAAGAGAACAGACTCAAAGCCTGAACCTGGGGCACGCCAACAATTGGAAGTCAAGGGGATGAGGAGGAACAAGCGCAAGAGACTGTGATAGAGTAGTTAGAAAGGTAAGATAAAAAGTAGGCACTGGAAGCCAGAGAAGAAAAATGGCTCAAGGAGAGAGATCAACTGTGACTAATGCTGCTGACAGGTAGAGTAAGAGAAAACTGACCATTTAACTTGGCAATGTGGGGTCATTGGTGATCTGAATGAGTGGTTTCAATGGGGTAGATTCAATAGAAAATGGAGGGGAGTGTCATGGATTGAATTATGTCCCCCAAAAAACGTGTGTATCAATTTGGCTAGGCCATGATTTCCAGTATTATGTGGTTGTCCTCTATTTTGTGATTGTAATTTTACATTAAAGAGGATTAGGGTGGGATTGTAAAACCACTCTTACCCAGGTTGCATCCCTGATCCAATGTAAAGGGAGTTTCCTGGGGGTGTGGCCTGTACCACCTTTTATCTCTCAAGAGTTGAAAGGGAAGCAAGCAGAGAGTTGGGGACCTCATACCACCAAGAAAGCAGTGCCAGAAGCAGAGCGTGTCCTTTGGACCTGAGGTTCCCACACTGAGATTCTCCCAGACGAAGGGAAGATTGATGACAAGGACCTTCCTCCAGAGCTGACAGAGAAGGCCCTCCCCTGGAGCTGACACTCTGAATTTGGACTTGTAACCTACTAGACTGTGAGAGAATAAATTTCTCTTTGTTGAAGCTATCCACTTGTAGTATTTCTGTTAAAGCAGTACTAGATGACTAAGACACGGGGGATTGGAGGCTGTGAGTACACAAGTATTTAAGAGTTTTGCTGTAAGTGGAAGAAGAGAAAGAGGACAGGAGCTAGAAGTGAGGTTGGTCAAGTGTTGGTTTGTTTTTTTAAGATGGAATCCAAAAAATAAATATCAATTATTTTATCAATAAAGATATTTTAAGTCGTTACATGTAAAATTTTAAAAGTCTATTTTAGAAACAGCTATTATCGATTGTCTCAATAATCATTTTTTGTCCGAACTAAGAATGGAAAACCTCAGTTTCATGAGTTCTCTAAATAAATTGGCAATAAAACTTAGTGAGAAGTGCTCAGGGTGGTCTGGGTCCAGGGTATTTTTATAACTCGTTTCTGAATATCTGCTTCCCTACTACTCACCTGCCTCAAGCTAAACCTGCAATTGGGGGAAATCTCCCAAGTTGTTTATAGAAGAATTTGCAGCCCTGATCATTAGGACAGAAACATGCTTAGGACAATTCTCTATTTGTTGAGACTCTTGATGACATTTCAAAATGGGCTTGGGAAAATTTTTCAATACTCCAAAGATATTTGATTGAAGTAAAAAAAAATTTTTTTAATTGAGTTTCAGGACCAAATGATGCAAAATGTCAGTCCATTCAAAGGTGTATCCTGCTATCAGACGCTAGTATTTTACCATTAAATAAACTGAGAGATACACTTAAAAATCCTTACTGCAATTTTTCTTCTAAGTCTATAACTTTCTTCTTTAACCCCTGGTTCTCCTTGATGGCAGAGTGAGCTGTGATTTCTGTTCTAATTTTAGAAGAAGAAAGTGCTACTGATTCTTCTTCTAGCTCCTGAACTCTGTCTCTCAAGGAAGTGAGGAGAGATGATTTTCTGGCGTTGTTTTCTTTATAGCTCTCCATTTCAGCTTTCAACTCTTGACAGGAAACTTCTTTAGAAAGCATCTTGGACCGGAGGTCTCGAAGCTGACATACAAAAGAAGCAAAAAGAGGAAAAGGAATTTAATCATATAAATTTGAAATACCTTTAAGAAACTCAAAACCAAAATTTAAATTTCACTCCTTTATTCATGACTTAATCTAACTTTATTTTCTTTTCTTTGTATTTGTATCTGTATTACCAAATGGGAAATTATACCCTGATAATGGACTTCATACTCTGTCCTTTTCAAAACCAATTGAGCCACAGCTTGTGTTGATTTAGTCTCACTCAAGAGATATTTGTGGTGCATTTTGCAAAAAGCAATAAAATATTTTGCAATGATAACCCATTTTCTAAATCCTTATGGTTGTTGTTGCTGCTGATGAACAATTAAACAAGAAACTCCCAAGCCATGCTATTCGTGATTGCACAGCCACAACTATTTCCCCAATAAAAGCAAACTATTCAATATATCACTAGGCTTTTCCCACTTACCTTCTGGATCTTCATTGTGGGTGACAAAGAAAACTAATATTCAGACTTCTGAGAAAATATAGCAGAAAAGGAAAATCCTTATAGGATTTATACAAAGGAAGCACTTTAACTTTTATGAATTTTGTGGCATCAAAACACTGAACCATGTTTTATGTGTTGTATTGAAGTTAAGATGTCAGGTCTACCATATAAGAAAATCTGATGAATACATGTACTTCTTAGGAACCATGAGTATGCACACATACATTCACACACACACACACACACACACACACACACGTTATGGACGCATCTTTCAGTTGGGTTCTGGCACCCTTTGTCAAACTACTAGTCACCTCATAGCTATGCCTAGGACTGCTCAGGGCCACTAGGCTCTGAACAGGATGAGTCCAGGGAAACTCTCTCAGAAACTCCACTACAGACCTGATCTAGCCTTGAATTGCCAGAGTATACATCCCAATCATCTTTCTAGAATTTTCCCAGCCAATCATAACTACCACAGGAAAGGAATTCAGAATTACCTCACAAGAGCTCCATATTTAAAGAAGATATTCCAAGTGGTGCTAAAAGTTCTCCAAAGCCTATGCGATTTCTACTCAATGTCCTCGGGTGCCCCCAGATACCTCAAGGCTGTGGAGCTCCTCTGAGATGCAGGATTCAGGCAAAGCCACCCTGTGTGCTGTACTTTGAAGCACGGCAAAGGCATAACCTTTCAGGGATTCCCTACAACTAAGGGGTAGGCAGAGCCCTGGTGGTGCAGTGGTTAAGAGCTACGGCTGTTAACCAAAAGGTCAGCAGTTCAAATCTACAGCCACTCCTTAGAAACCCTATGGGGAAGTTCTCCTCTGTCCTATAGGGTCGCTATGAGTCAGACTCAAGAGCAATGGGTTTGGTTTTATTTTTTGGCAAGGTGTAGGCACATAATAAGATTAAAAAAAAATACAAACTTTGCCAAAAGCTTTGAATCTGTATCCTATGGTCCTATTTTTTACCACCTCCCATCTCTACTCTACTCTGTAAGAAGCTAAAAAGGTCCGTTTCTGAATGAATAGAGTACATAATCTTACCTCAGACTGAGCACATTTAAATTTGACCAAAGTTGCTGCAAGTTCACTTTGAGCATTTTCAGCCACATTCCGATAGTGGTTTAGTTGCTCCCGAGTGACTGGGACTTCCAAAAGATGATCGTAAGTTTCCTGGTAAGGTTCCCCCAGAAGACAAAACATAAAGAGTGTGTTAAACAATCTTTTCTGCAAGGCTGTGCAAAACAAGATTAAAGACAGAGGCATTCTTTGTGTTCCCAATATGTGGCGAATGCTACCTGGAGCAGTGGTTTGTTTTGTTTTCAGATCATTCTACTCTCATTCTCAAAATTCAAAATGACTTCTAGTGCTTCTCGGTTTGCTCTGTTGACTGTCTGAGTCTTCGCGGCAAATGCCAACTCTAAATTCTCCCTTTCCCAATCAAGAATGTCTCCTTACTTGTCCCTGCCTAAGTACATCCTCTACCGCCTTCAAACCCATCTCAAACCTCACCTTCCACAGGTAGTCTTTCCAGGACCAACACACAGGCCCAGATTACCCAATAAGCCAGGTACACATGAGCCCAATTGTGCCTTCCCACCAGTCTGCAGTGCACAATTTCACCTGCCCTCCACCACAGTGCAAGCCGCGCATACCGTGTTTACTGGTTAATCTGCCCCTGCCAACATATAACGGTTTCCTAATTTTAAACCACACAGTATCCCCTTGTTCTGTTCGAACAACTGGCTCTTGGTCTATGTACAAATTCCTCATGAGCACAATTAAGTGTTCTGGAATTTCCATTCTTCAAAATGTTATCTATAATTTGTTATAATCCTCACAGTTTAATGCCTTTGCATAGTCAACACACAGACTTCTACAAAACAGGAATTACTCCAGTACTTTCTTCACAATCATGTGTATGAACTATTCAGACAGTGGATAATACAAAAGCCCCATCATGGTAAATGTTAATAGTATTATCCTGAAGAATGTGAAGTACAATTGCAGAGACAAATGATACACTCCCCCAGAATGGTAGTGGGGTTCAGCATTTTAGAATTGGTCTTTGCATAAAAAGGCCCTCAGCAGAAGTTGAAGGAATTTAAAGGGTTTCCTTTCACGAAACTCAAATGGTACTGCTGATCTCTGCCCAGAACCAAGGGTTGTCAAAGAACTGTCCAAGAGACTCAGTGCTAAACCCTATGAAACTAGGAGACAGTGTCCACTGTTCTGTTTCCAGGCTTCAAAGATTATCAGCTCATCTCTTGTCTATTGAACAAAGTGTTTCATTTGTTTAGCAAGAAGATCGTGTGACTTCAACGTAAAAGTCTGTCTCCTTCATAATTCTTCACAATGCCTTTTATTCTCAGTTTCATAACTTGTCTTGGGGTCATGAAGGTGATTTGAATAAATGAGTGAGATTAGGGGATAGTGTGGTGCATGGACAGCCTTCTCCCTCCAGATGGGTGCAGCTCTCAGCTCCACTGAGGGCTGGTCAAATCCCAGTGTGACCAGGTTATTCCACATTTTCAAGACAAGTCATATATCCAGGCTTTTTTTAAGTTAAAAATTCTCAGTTTTTGTGGCTTGGAAACTAATCTACATGTTTATAAAACAAACACTGTTTTAGCCAAACAAACACATTTGCAGGGCAGATTAGACAGATTTGGCCTCTGGGTTGCAGTTTGTGATCTCTGGTCCTGATTCTATCTTACTCACGCCGTAACTCCTGCTTCCTTCAAGAATTAGTTCTTAGTTTGAACAGAGACCCACACCCAGTTCCATGAAGTTTCCACTGCCTGTGGTCTTTGTAAAAAACATACAAGAAAGCCATTCATTTTTTGAAGGAATCTGAAAGAGGCTACCTAAAGGAGAATTTCTAGGAACATGTAAGTGTCCTCAGGGGACACACCAGTAAAACCGGTTTATGACTGCCTAGCTCTTCAACTGCCAGAGACTACTGTTTGGAAAGACTCATGAATACAGAAGTCATCTTAAATCCTTCACTTTCCAACAAGCGTTGTCATGACTAGGGTGTTTCAGCCCCCAGAATGCCAAACAAAACCTTCAACGCGCTTAGGAACAGCCAACATTTGCCAATCACGATACATCCAAGAGGACGGTAGATATATACCCCCGGGAGAAAGCACAGAAAGTTTAACTGACTCTTAAAAGAGAAGCACATCCTGTTCAGCCTCACTCAATATTCAGAAGGGACTTTTCCACCCTAGCTACCACAGCTATATTTTCTGAAATAAACCATGCGAGAGCCTAGGTCACTTATAAGAGATTTGGATTGCCACATATATAGCACACCATTCTATAAAATTCCCTAGGGATGTAAGTTCCCCAATGGTTATGATTATTTCTTTCAATGACTAACATCATTTTTAGGAAATCATGTAGTTATACCATTATTTTATATCTCCTTCTTATTAAAAAAAAGTGTGTCCATCTGAGTGTAGTATTAAAAGCCCCACAGGACAGTTTAGAAATGGCTCTTCCTTTTAGGATGGAGATTACAATCTAATGCAGAACACTGTCAAAATCAGGAACATCTTCAAATGTTCACGGGTGAAAGAAGCAAGTTATGAAGATATCATCACCCTGACACTACAGCAGGGCCTTCATTGGGAGGACCTTAATGATTGCTGAGTTTGGAAGACACTTGCTAGGTTTAAATCACACTCCACAGTTCAGCAGACTGAAGGTTCTTTGCCAACAAATATTTATTGAAAGCCTGCTCTGGGTCAGGCACTAAGCTTATAGTCTAACAAGGAAAACAACATTTTATCAAATAACCACACTAATGCTGGTATAAGTACAAACTGAAATAAATGCAAGGAAAGAAAAAAGCAGGTAACAAAGGAAACTGATGTAAGATTTAAAAAGAAAAAAGTCATCAATGAGTCAGCTCTGACTCATGGTGACTCCACGTGTGTCAGAGTAAAACCGTGTGCCATAGGGTTTTCAATTGCTGATTTTTCGGAAGTAGACTGCCGAGTCTTTCTTCCAAGGCACCTATGGGTGGACTAGAACCTCCAACCTTTTACTTAGCAGCCAAGTGCATTACCCATTTGCACCACTCAGGGACTCGGACTTAAGATTAAACCAAACCCACTGCTCTCAAGTCAATTCTGACTCATAGCAACCTCATAGGACAGGGTAGAACTGCTCCATAGGGTTTCAAAGGCTGTAAATCTTTACAGAAGCAGACTGCCACATCTTTCTTCTGCAGAGCAGCTGGTAGGCTCAAACTACCGACCTTTTAGTTGGCAGCTAAGTGGTTAACCACTGTGCAGCCAGGGCTCCTTGGACTTAAGATTA